GCAGGGAGCAACAGCCGGCCAAGGTGACACCCAGTGACGTGTGAATGTGTGTGCAGGGCTGCCATGTCCTTCTACAGGGAAGGCACCCATGGGGGCCCCGGGCTGGCAGCGGTGGGAGGACACCACAGCCACCTGCCCTGGCCACCTGGTCTTGGAGGTGGGAGGGAGGCCTCGGAGGCCAGCCAGAGAAGGGAAGTGAGGTGCGGAAGGCTTGGAGGGGCAGCAGACCTGTTCCCCAAATCCATGCAACCAGAAGCATAGTCACCAGGGCCTGGGTCACTTCCAAGCAGGACACAGGCCATTCCAGCAATGATCATGCTCCTCTTAAGAAATTATATGAAGCTTTATTAAATAAGCCAAGTAGAAACGCACCTATTTACATCCAAGTCGTCAGTTTGAGTTCAAGTGATATCAAGGCACCATTCTTCCTGTCTCAGCTTTAGGAAAATAAATCACGAGGCCCAGCCCAAAGGACGAGACTGGATTCACACCTGTGGCTCAGAGTTCCACGGGACTCCAGACACAGTGTCCACGCGAGACGGGCTCTGGGTGCGCCTCCAGACTTCCTGAGTGCGGCGGGCCTGGGCCCAGGGCAGGGGCCGCCTTCTGGAGGCCTCTGGGGCTGACGGACTGGGGAGCTGAGAAGGAGGGAGGTTTCTGTCTTCTCCTTCCCAGCCTCTTCCTGGAGGACAGGCCCTGTGGCCCTCAGGGGAGCTGCCTGGAGGGCGTGGGCCCAGCGAGCTGACCGCCGGGGAGGCCATCCCCGCCCGGGCGGGACAGAGGCTCAGATCGCTGCGGTGCGAGACCGCTGCACAAAAGAAGGAACAGATAAGCCTGGGTCTTTGTGCTTGGGCAGGACACAGTGGCTCCTCCCTATGGACAAACAGAGAAGTCCCCGTCTCTAGCTCAGGGACGCTTCCTAACTATGATCCCGATGTCCCTGTGCTGACGCAGGAGCCGGGACAAAGAGAACGAGCCGGACTCCACAGGATGTCCCCACGGGGCCGAGGCCGAGCCCAGGAGGCGTTTCCACAGCTTAGGAAACAAAGAAAGTCGATTCACAGTGGTGCGCGGGGGCCGGGAGCAGCGGCTCTCTGGGCTCTCGGCTCTGCAGCATCTCCCTGTCTCCCGGGGCAGAGCCAGCGGGGCTGGTGGCTGCGGTCCTGGGGCTCTTGTGCAGCATCGGGGCTGCCCTGGACGCTCAGGGCTGCTCACTCCCCTCGCTTCCTAGCGGGAGCAGACTCGGGAAAACTCAGGTTTCCACGGGGAAAAAGCCCACAGAAATAAACAAGTAGTTAAGAAGTCCCTTCCCTGAGACCACTGCAGTAACGTCATCCAGACAACTAACAGCGCTTCTGTCCACTCGAAGTCTCGATTTGAGAGACTCGAGGACAATAAGAGCACGAGTGCACACTGTCCAGAAGCCCTGGACAGGCAGGCATACAGGAATGAGCCAGAAGTCTTAGCCTTTGCAAGACTCTGAAGTAAAAACAAACAAGAAACTTCAAGTCCTACGTACAAGAATAAGCTAACGAGCATGGCCTAGACTGCGGTCTGTGAGAACAGAGGCGGCGGCGACATCGGCCGGGGCCGGGCTCGGGGCTCGCTCCAGGCCGCAAGAGCAGGAGCGCCACTGTCCCTGCTGCGGAGGCCCAGCAGCGCCAGGCTGTCTGTGCGGGCAGCCGCCGGCCCAGCCCCGCGTGCTGACTAGTGGGAGGTGTACGCAGGGCTCCACAGCCCCGAGGGAGGACTGGCTCTGCGCGCAGGAGGCAGTGCACTGAAAGGCATCGGCGACGAGGCAGCAAAATCTAGGGTGGAAAGAGAAGAGGTGAGCAACAGAGCAAAAGGGAGGGCTCAACGCTCCTCAGATGTGTCAGAGCAAACGCTGCCGAAGTGCCCGCGGCAGGCCCAGGACGCCTTCCTAACGCTGCCCCCAGGCATTCCTGGGCCAGCGAGGGAATCCACAGGGGGCTTGCTGCGCTGGCCCTAATAGGGAAAGGGTGAAGGCTGGACATGCAGGGGCCGGGAGCCTGACTCCTGACCTCCCCGAGTGCACAGCCTGCTGGGGAATACGAGGAGCAGGTCTCAGGATTGCACGGAAGCGTCCAGTCCATGGGGCACATGGGGAAAAGGCCCGTCTATCTGGGCGGGCACGGCCTCTTGGGCAGAGAAAGCTGCGTTAACAAGGACTCCAGCTCGAGAAGAGGGTCTGGAGTGTTCAGGAGACAACGGAAAGCCCCGGTGTGGCCCGGCAGCACAGGGAAGGGTGTGTGGGGAGATGAGTTAGACAGGGTGAGCACCCACTGCGAGGACAGCTGGATAACATATCAGAGTTGCAAGGCCTTCCCTGGCGTTGCTTCCCAGGCCTGAGAGGCAGCCTGGTAGAAGGCTAGGATTCTAGAGGCCCAGGATGCACGTGGCACCTTGTTACTGGAAAAATGCGTCTATATACAAAACTGCATCCTCTTCCAAAAAATTCACTGACTCCTTGAAGCCTGGTCATGCCCACAGCTCAAGCATTCTTTGTGTAGGAGAGAGAATCTCAAGTAGGAGTCAGGAGATATAAGGGCTCCACGTGCAGGTTGGGCAATGCACACTTTCAGGGGACAACACTAACAGACAGGCCTCAGGGCCACCAGAGACAACTGGACTATTAAGAGGAATAGGCCTTGTGATTCTTCTCCAACTGGGAAATCCCTCATCAGGACTGCCCAGAATCCTCATCTTGGAGTCAGCCAGTCCAAACCCAGCTCAGAGCCCGCTGCAGCAGCCCTGGCAGGTAGGATCCCAGGTCCAGTGTGCACACCTGCCAAGACCGAGCTCCCTGCACCAGCCCCTCCGCCCTGCTTGGCTCTGCCTGGGGAAAGCTCTCCTTGTCCGGCTCCCCCTCACAGGCTCCCGGACCTGCCCTCTGCACCTCACGCCACAGCTGCAGCTTCTACCCAAGGCCAGGCCTTCTGAGTTGGGGTTCAGGGCCTGGGCCCCCCTCCTCCCCCAGGAGCCCTCCTCTTGTCTGCAGGGGAGCTACTCACAGTGGGGGCTCTGCCGAGGGCTGGCTCGGGGGGAGAGGGCTGGAGGTGTGGCGAGCTCGCGGGGCGCACAGACCGTGTGGTAGGCTGCAAGACACGTGGCTGGTTAGGGTGGGGGGCGGGGTGGAGCAAACCAGGGGACGCCATGCAGCCTGCCTCACCTATGATCACGACAGCGGTCCCAGCCAGCAGCGCAAAAAGCGTGAAGAACATGACCTGGTACGAATCCAGGAAGTGCTGGAAGAGGCTGGCTCCGTCTGCAAGCATCGGGAAGAGGAGTGACCAAACCGCCTCGTGGAGTCTGTGTGCACAGCCAGAGGGCGAGGCGGCCTGCTTGAGGCCCGGGCAGCGTCCAGGCCCGAGGGGCTGCCACCCCCGCGCTCCATCCCCTCCCACCTCAGGCCACATGACCCAACCCCATTCCACCCGGGGCCCTGCTTCCTCGGAGGAAATGCTCTCCTCGTGGAACTGCACCCAGAGCCCAGCACCCTCTGCCCCAAAGCCGCTCCTCCCTGGGGGTCCCCCGTCCTCAGGGACGGCCCCAGTCCTGGCTCCTCCTCACCCCCTCCACCTCGCGGGGCTGTCCTGAGTCGGCACACAGCCCCACTCAGCAGGAGGAAGGGGTGGCCTCTGCAGGTGCCCCTGACGTTGGGCCCAGCCCTTCACTCCACTCCCAACCAGACCTGACCAGCTCACTTCCCTGCTCTCAGGAGAAAGCCTGAGACCCTGGCCCAGTGTTCAAGGCTCCTCACGGCCCAGCCCCTCACCCTGCACGTCGCCCCCCGCCTGCTCGTCCTTCCAGACCTGGCTGAAGAAGCCCCTTGACCTGCACCCGCCTCTCGGCAGAGGTGAAACTACCCCCTCTGCGAGCCCCCCTCCTCAGCTGCATCTTTAAACCCTCCCTTTCTGACTGCGTCTGTAATTCTGGGCCCTCTCTATTTGAGGGGGATCTTCTCAGGCATCTGCCCAGCACAGAGTTTGGCACACAACAGGCGCTCATC